AAGAATCTTGTGTGCTGGATGGACTTGGTTCACTCATGAGGGGAAACAGGAAAATGTAGAGAAGATAGTAGTAAGTGGTCAAGGACATTTATTTAATTGTTTTTACCTTCTTCAAGAAGGATTAAGGTAGTTTACACACACACACACACACACGCAATGCAAGATAAAATGCTAGTGTAAAATGGAAGTAAAGGAAAATAATGGCAGTAATGAAACATACTTAATGGTGAGACATTAAAAATTTCCCCATTAAAAGCTAGATGTAAGATTCCAGTCCTTGTGGAGCATTTGAGATCTTGCTTCTCAGTATACGTTGTCAGTTTGGCTTAAATAAGCTCTTATAAAAATTAACAAAAAATAAAATAAAGATTCCACTTCTTGGTTATTTACTCAAGAGAGATGAAAGCATATATCCTCATAGACATTTGCACACGGATGTTCATAGCTTTATGTGAAATAGTCAAAAATTTGAAAAAACCCAAATGACCATCAACTGGTGCATGGATAAGCGAATCATGGTACATCATTCATGGACTACTCCTCAGTAATATGAAATGAGCACTTGCTACAACCTACAACATAGATGAAGCTCAAAATAGTTATTCTGACTGAAAGAAACCAGGTAAAGTATGTCGTGTTGGATTCCATGTATATAAATTTCTAGAAAATGCAAACCAATCTATACATAGTGACAGAAGTCAAATCAGTGGTGCAGGGAATGGAGGATGGAGTGGGAGGAAAGAATTACAAAGGGCCACAAGGACACTGGGGGGCTGACTGGAACGTTCATTATCTTTATTGTGGTGATGGCCTCACGGAAGTTTACATATGTCAAAACATTAAATTGTACACTTAAAGTAAATATGATTGCCAGTTATCAATTATGCTTTAATAAAGTTGTAAGTGTTTTTTAGAAGTTAGCGGTGAGACAAGCATTCCCTATCACCACTGCTCTCTAACATGGCATGGGCGGTCCTAGCTAATGCATTGAGATAAGAAAAAGAGGTATAAGGATCAGTATTTTAGAAATGAATAGTTTGTATACAGTAGCAATAATAAATTAGAGCATATAATAGAAAAGAAAAAGATACCACATTATTTCTCTTGCTTTAGTGAATGATGTCTAGGAATGACTAATAAAAGATGAGCAAGAGCTTTATTAGAGAAAATAACAAAACATACCTGAAAGACATAAGGAAATGCCTGAATAAATGATGAGAAATACCATGCTCATGGATGGGAAATTTCAATACCATAGAAATGTCAGGTTTTTTCCAAATTAATCTATAAATTAAATTCCAAAGTGTTTCTCTCTCCTTCCCCCCACCCCCCATGGAATGTGACAAACTAATCACAAAGTTATTATGGAATAATTAAGGGTCAAGACAAAGAACCTCGTGCTCCAATTTTGCTGAATGAATGAATTTTACAACTATATGCTAGCCTATGTATGTTTGAGGCCTAGANGGCCCAAATGTCAATAGTACAACATTTTTAGAAACCCTGCATTAAATTAATTGACTACTTTCTTATCTCTACAAGGGGCAGGGGGTGATGATAGGAAATTATCATGTAGGGTTGTTGTGTGGATGAAATGAGGGTCTATCTGTAAAATTTCTCAGAATAGTAGCTGACTTACAGCAACTGCTCAATAAATTTAGATTTTATTATTTCAAAGCTAAAAACACATTTCCTCATTTTCCCCAAAGAGTATACCAGAATCTCTTCTACGGTACATGATTTTTAATCAAGCCTCTTCCATTCAGATGGCAGACATTGCCAATGTTCTTTCCATTTCTATTCTCTCAAAGGTCCAAAAATGGTCTCTTTCTCTACATCCTGTCAACATTTATTTATAAATATGTAGTAATATTTACTAGCAAAAGGATTTCACGGTTCTAAATTTCATTTTGCATTTCTAGGTTATAATGATTCGTTTTCCCAGTTGGGCGTCTTTTTGGCCATTTTTTGTTCTATAAATGACCTGTTTGTATCCTTTGGCCTTTTTCCTACTGGATTTTCTTTTTTTTCTCCTATAGTTATTTCCTTGAACGTTACTCACGTACAGAATATGGTGCAAATATTTTTCTCCTACCCTGTTACTTGCCTTTTGACTTGTTGTCTTAAGTCATACGGAAGTTTTGTGAGTAAACTTGTCAGTTTGTTGGCTTCTAGGTTTTGTGTCTTGATTAAGCCCATGCCTTCCCAACTTAGAAATTTTAAAATTATTTTTCTGTGATATTTTTATAGTGTAAGGTTTACCTTCTACTCTCTGGAATTTTATTTTTGGAACAATGTGTTATAGGAGGTCTAACTTTACTTCCAAATGGATAGTCAGTCATCTCAACATGTGTTGAATGATATATCCTTCACCCACATATTTGAAATTCCACTTTTATCATGGACTAAATTCCTGTCTATAGTACTTGGATTAATTTCTGGATTCTAAAATATTCCCTTCATATATTTGTTTATATTTATGCCAGTATAGCACTTTTTTTTACCATGATTTTATAGTACAATTTCATATCTGATAGGCCCTATCCCCCACTCATTATTATTATTATTATTATTATTATTATTATTCCTTCGAAATGTTCTTGGCTATTCTTGAGCATTATCTGTTATCTATGACCTTGAGAATCATTCTAAGTTCTATAGAAATCCTTTGGGATTTTGGTTGACATGATATTGAATTGAAATTAATTTGGAGTGAATTAGCAAATTAATAGTATTGAGTCATAGCAGTCAGAAATATTGGCATATCATGTTTATGTTGCCGCTTCACTAAAGTTTATTTTATAGCTTTCTTCATTTAGGTAATATGCATTCCTTGTTAGGTTTATTCCTAGGTATTTTGGTTTTATTGTGACCACGAATGGGATCCTTTTTTCCATTTTGTGGCTTAAATGATTATTGGTGGACAGTTGGGGAAATATAGATCTCTGTAAATTAATTTTGTATAAGCCAACTTGCTGATCTCTAGTTCTAATGGTTTTTTAGTTGATTTATTTTCTATTTCTCGATAGTCATATTGTCTGTAAATAATGAGTTTTGGCTCTTTGTTTCCAATATTTAAGCCTCATTTAATTTTTATTTTCCTTCGTTGCGATGGGTAGGCTCTTTATGACATGTATGGGGAGTAGTGACAGCAGCCATTCTTGCCTTCTCTCTTAGCGGGGTGGTTCACTATCATCTCACGGGGTCACCTAGTAGTGAAAGGGCCACCTCTAGCATTTCTGATTTTTCCCACCTTCAGTTCTTTTTACTATATTATCCTATTTTACAGGAATTGATGGACAAGCTAACATCATTTCGTGATGGATTAAATGAAATGAAAGATGAAATTGGCTGTTGCGTGGTTACTCTTATGTCCCATGGAGAAAAAGGCTTTATTAAAATGAAAGACGGTGCCAGAGTCAGCCTGGAAGATGTTTTTGAAATGTTTAACAATAAAAATTGTCCAGGACTTCATGAGAAACCAAAGATCTTTATCATTCAGGCCTGCAGGGGAGGTAAGTAAAGACTCCTTTGTAATAGCCATGTTTCTAGGGAAGTTTCATATTGATAATTGAGGGAAGAAAATAAGTCAGTTAAAAAATATATATATATATATAAATATTATATTTTAAATTAGAGGACCATTAGCGGATATAACTTCCGTTATGTCATATACTGGGGACTTTGAGCTGGGAGGAGGGAATGGACGGAAAACTTACTTGGGTTAGAATAGCTAACTTAGGCTGAGGGGCGGATCCACGTCCCTGACTTCATGAGGTCGGTCTGGGAGCCTCACATTCTGAGACAGGCGCGTGCAATTTCCAAGGGACGTCCCATCATCCATGTGACTCCAGGTGGCTTGTGGGACTGACATCTGACTTATATAGCTTTTGTGGATATTTCTCTCTCGTGGAGAGACAAGCTTGTTGTGACTTTTATTAAGAGTTATTGGTGTCGGTGATGTATTATTGTAGTTTGTCTTTTTCATTCCTCAAAAAAATAGAGAAAAGAGATAATGGCATTGAAACGGATGATGAACCCATGCAGTTGGATGACATATCAGAGAAGAGGCGGCTGCCTACATTCAGCGACTATTTCATCATCTACCCCACCCAGGCGGGTAAGACAGTGAGGGCAGGTGACCGTGAGCTATAGATTCT